TTTGTATAAATAAAATAAAGGTATAGACTCTGAATTAAAGACATTTGAGGCTTTGTACTCATAGTAAATCTCTTGCAATAGATTTTGGTACACATAAACCTTTAGACAAGGACTGAGTACAAGTTTATTTGCAAAATGAAGGAAACACTTGTAGGGTGCAGGAAATGAGCTGAAGAAGGGCAGTCAGTTAGTAGAGGGTGCACTGTTAAGCCACCTCCCATTATAGTTCATGTTGTCCGAGAAACATGCTTCACGATGGTCCAAAGTACAATGCATCAATTCGAAAAACCTTAATCTCAGAACATCCATTGTACCACTCTGTGGACTTGTATACTGTCAGAGTGACATTTCAGAAATCCTCAAAACTAGAAGAGGAGAAATGGAAATTAATATCCTGAAAAACCATAAATATTATATTTAATGTGATACATTCTGTCTAAATGTAGTAAGATTAATTAAAAATATTCTGGTAACAGGCAAAATCAGACAGAGTCTCATGTAATATACTTTTCGTTGAGTCACCAACTGTCCAAATAGAAATTGTGGCCTTATGTAACATTGTCAAGAAAGAAATAATTCCATCAGCCAGCAACATGCTGAAAATGGTGAGATTAAACAGCAGCAATAATGATGACAATAATAGTAATGGTGTTTCCTGAGCTTCATTAAGTTCTATTCATTTTCAATATACTAAAACTTTGGTCTTCACAAGCAAAGCTATGGCATAACAGAAGGAGAAACAGAGGCCCAGAGGAGGTAAGTAAATTTCCCCAAATCATACAGTTAGTAAATGACTGAGCAACAATTCCCATGCAGACAGCCTGGCTTCATCCACTGCACCCTAGGACGGTGCTTCTCAACCTTGAGTGTGCTTAAGGATCACCTGAAGATCTTGGTACAGAACAGGTTGCTGGGCCACACGCTCTGAGATCCGGATTTGGGAGATCTGGGACAGAGACCATGACAAGTCCCCCAATCAGTATCATCAGCACAGCAAACTTTGTTTAACAAGTTATTGAGGCGTTTCCTAGCTGCCTTCATGGAGCGGAAGCCCAGAGGCTAAGAGACTCATCTGTGAAGCCAGGTGATTCTCAGCCAGGTGATGCTGCCAGGTAAACAAATATTGACAAGTCTATTTCCCAGTTTCCCTGCATGCCATAAAAGGAGAGAGAAATTGTCTTTTCACTATAAACCTTGTGTGTGAGACAGCAGGCTAGGTGCTGTAAGGCAACATGCTAAGGTACTAACGTCTGAGGTCAATGAGACGATAGAGTCAGTGTACCAGTAAAACTAAGGAACATTTCACAGGGAATATGGGAATTGAGCTGTTCCAGGAAAGTGAATAAGACATGTATCAGAAAGAACTGATAGAATTAGTAGCAACACATTTAAGAGATAAGAATAGGACTGAAGAGACAAATACCACTTCCAGGCAGAGAATTCCCCCCAACCCCATAAAAAAAAAAANTTTCAAAACTTATAACAAAGCTATAGTAATCAAAACAGTGTGGTACTGGTGTAAAGATAGACGTGCCAATGGAATCAAATAGAGAGCCCAGAAATTGTCATATATATATATATATATATATATATATATATATATATATATAATTTTAATAATCCAAAGCAATGCCTTAACTATTAAAAGATAGAGCATCATAGAAACAGACTATAATGAATGAACAAAACTTTTATCACTGTACAGCTTATGATGATGATTTCAAAATGACATTATAATCAATAAAGATGATTCCTCTCCAGTCTGCTTTCATATGTCCTACCAAAAAAAATTTGTGATTAAAGAAACCTGTTAAAAATCAGACCAGACTTTCATCTTCTTATTTTTTTAAATAATTGACCTTATTTAATTCATTACTTGTTTCCCATTCTGATTTGACTAGCTCATGATAATCAAAAATAATTAGCTAGTGTTAATAAATTTTATGTTTCTGTCTTTAAGGAGCTGATATCTTGATATCTTTCCTCAGCGACTGTGACCTTTTGAGACTAATATTATGTAAACATGCTTTTTCCTTTCAGCTAACCCGTGTGTCTACTACGATGAACACACTAACTGTAAGAAACAAAAGAAGGTACTTGGATGCCAACACCCATCAGTTCAACTACTATGCAAAGCTACTTGTCTCTGTCACACAGAGATAAAATAACCTCTGTTATTTATAGCTATAATGTGCTGTTGGGAAAATGTCTGCTGGATTGTATTTTTTACCTTACTTTGCATCAGTAGCTTCTGATGAATTTCATTTGGTTAATTATACTTGAGAGCCTAAGGTTCACTAATCCTATATGGGCATCAGATATTTACATCCATGCCACCTGCTCCAGCCCTGATACATCCTGAAGTAACATCGTTTGAAACTTTCTTACTGTTACAGTGAAAGGTCTGGCTCACCACCTGCCTCATATTTAAATCATGTGATTCTTAGGTTGACATCATTCAGCTAATGGCAGAACTGGGTCCCTCAACAATAACCTGTGCTAGAGGAGGGTTTTTCTCTGTTTAACTCCTTCCCTTGCTTTCCCGTGTCTCCAAGCACCCTGGCGTTTGTCTTCTCTGCAAAACTTACATGAATTAATAATTATTCAAGTCTTAACTTTACTTCTACTTTAAATCAATCATTAAAATAATCCACGAAGCAAACAAAGAGTCCAGTCTCCTTAATTGCAAGTGATTTAAATGGCTTACTGTTCCATTGCTGTATCTATACACATTTGTAAAGTAGGAAAGAAAACCTGTGTCCCTAATTTAGTACAATATGTATTTGGTACTGATTACATATACAAGGTACAATCCATATAGTATAGAGCATATTGTCTTCCTCATTACAAATAAGGATATAAATTGAGGAATGTATATTGGTGCAGTCATTATAGAAAACAGTATGGAGGTTCCTCAAAAAGTTAAAAATAGACCTACCATATGACCCAGCAGCTCCACTTCTGAGAATTTATCTATGGAAAGCAAACAAACTAATTTGAAAAGATATATGCACCCTGTGTTCCTTGCAGCATTATGTACAATAGCCAAGACATAGAAAAAAAACCTGTGTTCATTCACAGATGAATGGGTAGAGAAAATGTGATATATTTATACAGTGGAATACTAGTTAGCCGTAAAAAATAAGGATATCCTGCTGTGTTTGACAAGGTGGAGTGATCCGGAGGACATCATGCGACGTGAAATAAGGCAGACAGAGAAAGACAAATACAACACGGTCACACTTGTGTGTGGAAACTCATCAAACAAACAAACAAAAATGAAACTATGGAAAAAGAGATCAGATCTATGGTTATCAGAGGTGTGGAATGGGATGTGAGGGAATTAGATGGAGATGGTCAAAAGATGCAAACTTCAACTTAGCCGGCAAATACGTACAACATGATGACTACAGTTAACACTGCTGTGTGGTATATTTGAACGTTTCTGGGAATGTGGGTCCTAAAAGTTTCCATCACAAGGAAAAAATGTTTTGTAACTATACGATGGGATTGAGATAAACTACACTTGTTAGGGTGATCGTTCTGCAATATATGTATGACACGTCATTACGCGGTACACCTTAAACTTACACAGAGCTGTAGGTCGATTGTGTCGCAATCAAACTGGGGGGGGGTAAATCTATTTATCTAGCCTGGAATTTACAGTCCCCACATCTACCAGTACTTGGATGTGGGGTGGCCCAGGGAAGAGCTTATGGCCATGGACAGTGCAATATTTCGAGGGAACAGACAGCAGAGGTGTCTGTGGGCAGGACTTCCAGCTACTGGGGAAATAAGTCTTTCAGTGCAGAAAGGGATGAGGTGATGCATCACAGCACGCATGAGTGCAATCGTCTTTGAGATAGCCAGATAAATTCCAGTTCTAAACATGCTGTAGCCTGGATGTAACAGGCAAGATTTTTTTTACTAGTGAGTGCAGTAGTATTCCCTTCGCCAGGAGATCTATGCCCTAATTGGGTGCATTCTGTCAACTCTATTTCTGCAGTTACTTGTAGTTTTGATAAAACTATGTCTTTTTGGTATAAAGCGATTAAAATCTGCAAACCCATGGTTTTTCCCCCTCTGTTCCAAGCTGAGTTACCTAATTTATCTCATGGTTTAGAAAATTCATTCACATGGAAGTGTAATTCTAGAAAATGACCACAAGATGGCAGCATATACACATATACATAAATTACACACGTAAGATCGACTTCTTTTGAAGCCAAGGAAAATAAACCTGTTAGATTGATATTCTAAAATTATTATAAAGAGTAGCTAAATGATTTACATAAAATCTTGTAGTGAAAAACAAATAACAACCTCCACGCTTTGCTGGCAATATGTTGCAATCGTTTAAGTGGGTATATACAATGAGAAGAGGAAAGAAACCCACCAAAAAAGAGGCCCTGCCTTTCGTATTATTGTAGAACGGCACATATCTGTGCCTCAGTTTCCTCATTTGCAAATGGAGATAATAAGAGTACCTCCCTTGTAGAGTTGCTACGAGGATAAAGTAAGGAAAAATACATGCAGAATTAGTAACATCCTGGCATGTTGAGTTCGCTATTAATTTTTATTGTTTACAATTTTTAATTGAGATACCTGACATTATACTTGCTTCTAATCAAAGCTGTCATTTATTCATTGTTCACACAATACAAGATTTATTATTTCACAATTGTATTGCATGGGGTATCATTTAAAGTTTAGAACAAACTTTGGGTATGAATAACGGGGTCACATTTATAAATGCGGAAACTGAGAGATTAAACAAGGAGATTAAATAGCATGTCCCAGGTAAAACTGCTAATAAGCGACTAAGGTGGATTTCTAACCTTGGTCTTATTTACTGGACGTCTTTCCTTCAACTCTTTACTACATCTGAAAGAGCAGCTATGTCTGAAAGAGCAAAGCTACGTTTGGTTATTACCAAATCTTCATTTTGTGAATTCAATGGCTGATATGCTACATTGAAATGTTTTTCTTCCTCTTCCAACCAGAACATTTAAGAATAATCTGATTATTTAATATTTTTTATCTTAACACAATTGAGAATAATTCTAGCCTTGGAGTTTGAGAAAAAATAAACTAGAATTTCACCGTGGAAATTGTAATAAGACCACGTGCTGGGTTATTACTGCTCCACTATAGAATTGGAGTGAAGACGCTGCACAAAATGCCAGAACGTTGTCAAAGCAATGTGACCCCATGGAGGACAGCACAGAGGCGTGGCAAATTATAAGTAGGTGTATATCTGTATGATCCACTTTTGGGCTCAAAAATCGCCAGGAATTACTAAGGATCCTGGCAACGATGAATTAGGTCATCCAGCCTGCACAATAGAGCGTCTTCACCTTGTGTATGTTAGCATATATCACATGCCAAGTTTGTAGTTTAATTATATTGTTTATTTCAATTATGTCCCACAGTGCTATCAGCTATAGTCACCATGCTATTTGTTAGAGCCTCAGAACTTATCTTAAAATGAAAATGTGTACGTTTTTACCAACCACTTTCTCTTAACCCCCCCCCCCCCTTCTGGGAACAATTTTTCTACTCTTTGTTTCTATTAGTTCATCTTCTTTGTTAAAAAATGATTCCACATGTAAGTGACACCACGCAGTGGTTTTCTCTCTGTGTCTGGCTTGTATCACTTTGTATAATGTCTCCCGGGCTTCATCCCTTCTGTCTCGATGACCGGATTTCCTTCTTTTGTAGGGCTGCATAATATTCCATTGCTTATACCACTTTTCCTGATCTTTTCATCCACTGACAGATTCTTAGGTTGTTTCCAATACCCTGGCTAATGTGAATAATGTTGCAGTGAACATGGGAGGCCAGATATCTCTTCAAGATGATGGCTTCATTTCCTTTGGATATATAACCAGAAGTTGAATTGCTGACTCCTATGGTAGCTCTATGTTTAATTTCTGAGGAACCTCCCCACTGTTCTCCATAGTGGTTGCACCAATTTACATTCCTACCAACAGTGTAGAAGGGTTTCCTTCTCCACATCCTCATCAGCTTTTATTATCGCTTGTCTTTTAGATAATAGCAATCCTATAAGAGCAGATGTGAGGGGATAATTTTGTTGTGGTTTTGATTTGCATTTCCCTAATGATTAGTGATGATGAGCACCTTTTCATGTACCTGTTGGTCATTTCTATGTCTTTGGGAAAATGTCCATTTAAGTCCTTTGTCCACTTTTAATTAGATTATGTGCTTGTTTGCCATTTATTTCTTTTTAATTGTATGAGTTCCTTGTACATTTTGAATAGTAACTCCTAGTGGAATACGGGGTTTGCAAATATTCTTTCCCATTCTATAGGTTGCCTTTTCATTTTGTTCATGGTTTCCTTTGCTGAGTAGCTAGCTGGTAATGTGTTTATTCCAGACAAAGGCCTTTGAAGTGGATGTCTCAGCAATCAAGAGCTTAAACACAGGCACCTACATTACAATCAAAAAAGCTAATTGTCAGGTGTTCACACTACAGCTACAAATAAAAAAATTTAATAAAATTTGAAAAATTATTTTAAAAATATGAAGTGTATCGTCGGTGGCAATAAGTACATTCACATTTTGGGGTAATCATCACCACCATGCATCTCCAGATGTATTTTCATCTTTCAAACCTGAAACTCTTATCTATACAGTATCTAAACAGTAACTGCATAATTGGTCTTCCTCCCAATTCCTGGTGACCACCATTCTACTCTGTCTCTGTGTATTTGATGACTCTAGGTACCTCAAATAAGTAAAGTTATACAATATATATATTTTTGGTAACTGGTTAATTTCACTTAGCAAAATAGCTTCAAGATTCACCCATGTTGTAGCATGTGTCCGAATTTCCTTCCTTTTTAAGGCTGAATAATATTTCACTGTATATAATACTGCATTTCTGTATCCATTCATCTGTCAATGGGCACTTGGTTTGCTTACACCTTTTGGTTTGTGTATAATGCTGCTAATGAACATGGCTTATACAACTATCTCTTTGAGTCCCTGTTTTAATTCCTTTATGGTATAAACCCAAAAGTGGAACTGCTGGATCATAGGGTAATTCTATTTTGTATTTCTGAGGAACTGCCTTACTCACAGGATGCACCATTTTATATTTCCATCAACAGTGCACAAAGGATTCAATTTACCCACATTTACGAAG